ATATATATATATATATATATATATATATATATATATATATATTATATATATATATATATATATATATATATATATATATATATACATATTTATAATATTTATATATTATATATATATATATATAATATATATATATATATATATATATATATATTATATATATATATATACATATATATATAATATATATATATATATATATATATATATATATAATGTATATATTTATATATATAATATATATAATAATATTATATATTTATATATATTATATATATATATATATATATATATATACTATATATATATATATATATATTATATATATATATATATATATATATATATATATATATATTTATATAATATATATATAATATATATATATATATATATATATATATATATATATAGATATATGTATATATATATATATATATATATATATATATATATATATATATATATATATATAATCTTTAAGAAAAAACATAATGCTTAAACATTTGGTTGCACGCATGTCTTCTGTCTTCCTGACAGATTCCATGATAGAGCTCCTGCACCTACACAGTGAGAGACGTCGCCGCTCCAGCGTGTCTTCACAGTGCTCCCAAGACTCGCAGGGAACGACCACGGAGCAGACGACTATAGGAGTCTCCTCTTCACACTTCACGAGACCTCCTCTGGAAGACAGGTGAGGTGTCGTGTTAGGTTTTGTAAATGTTGTGAATTGATTTTTCGGAGGTGTTTAACTGTGTTTACATCACTAGGGTTTGTCTTTTTTATGTAGGCACAGAATTGGGTTTATTTGAAAGAGTATTATTTTTTTTCATGAAAGTATATACATTTAGATTTCTTTACCCAATAGAGTTTATTTTTACATTTCAAGGTTTGAATAGGGTTTACAATATGTCAATTAAAGTTTGCAGAAGTGGGATACACAATCTGTACAATAAAAAATTACAGGATAAACCATCAATTTATTTATTTATTTATTTATTATCATGGTAATTTCAGTGAGGCCATATGCAATGAGATATTATATAGTTTTGTAATGATCTTTGATAGTTGTAGCTATGATGACAGTAATTGTAGTATTAATGACTGATGTTTGTGTTAAAGAGAAATATTCATGTTGAAGCTAGAGGAAATGTAAATCAATTAATATTAATACTAGAGTCATGGTTGCTATCTAGGACCATTAAGTCCCAAGAAATATGTATATGTGTTTTCTTAGGATAGTAGAGGAGCATATAAATCTGAATCTCACTGTAAAGTTGCATTAATGATAAAAAAAAACATTTTTTTGAATTTATTTTGGAGTACAAAGGAATTTATCATTATTATAGCACATACAGTAACTCAGTTTTAGTTTGCAATATTTTCAGTATATATTCCATAATTTGAATAGAGGTTAATACTTTTGAATTATTATTGATTGTATCAGTAATAAATCATTTGTAGTTTTATTGCACAACTGCATATTAAAGCTATTTATTTTCTTTTAAGTTCAAAAGTTTGATTTTTATATTTCTTTTATATTTCACTTTACCAATTTTTTCTCTTTCATTTAATATGGTTTTCTTGTATAGATAGAATATTGCAATCATATGGGATTTCCTAAAATGCTTATAATATATATATTTTTTCATCATATGATTAGTTTATATTTTTAGAGAACAGCTTTATTTAATTGTGAAAACAGTTTGAAAATTAAATAGTATAAGCTACTTTTTTATTTGTTTATTATTAATGCAAGTGAATTTTCTTTCATACTGCTATCATTTCTTTTAAGATATGTTACAGTGTGTATCAGAATGAGATTATGACTTTTTGCAATTTGATTATGACACATTCCCCACCAGATTAGATGTAACTCCCCTGTTTTTCATTTTTAGATTATGGTGTTATTAGATATGTAATAATAAGAAGATACACTTGTGCAATTTAACTATTTGAGAAACATTTTCCATCAGATCTAAGTATGAGAAACTTCAGAATGCACATGATGAGGAGAGTGAGGAGGAGGGTGAGAACCAAGTGTTCCAGCGCAGTCGAGAGCCCAAACACTTGCTACCGGCCTCCCATTCACGTGAGCAGGTGGAGGTTGGGCCGAGAAAGCACCCAAGGCAGAGGAGCAGACGAGGCAAGCTTTCTGGGGTGCAGAAGGAGAGCTCCCTTGAGGCAGGGCAGGATGGCAAGCCGGAGGGGGTTTTCATATGCAGTGTGTCTGATGATGATTCCATAGGTTCGGCGAGTGACCTTAAGGATAGGATTAATGATGAGTATGACTATGACAATTGTGATAGAGGAGATATATCAGAAACAATTAGTTCCTCGGTGTACCATGCAGAGTGTGAGAGTGTGACAACACATGAAGACGATATTGCCAGGACAGGAGAGAGTGGCGATCCATTACAGTTAGTGCGGCGTGGACCAAAGCCCAGCAAGGCAGCCATGAGAGCTCAAGCAAAAGCTCTCCAGGAACAGGAGAACAGAAAATGTGCACAGGATAGATTGTTAGGCCATGAGTACGGAGAGAAACCTCTCCTCTTGGATGACGAATTGGACTCTGGTGATGAGGAGGGGAAGATGTCCGACAACCAAGAGGAGCAGAAGTTAGAGCCACAGCCAGTGCCATTGGTTGAGCAGCCAGTCATCAAGAGCAACTTGTTCCACGTCCCAAGACCTTTTAGAAAGACCTCAATGGATGATTCTTATAAGCATAAGGAACACACAGGAGACGAAGATGTATTTGCACTGGCCCCATTCAAATCTTCACTTAAGAAACTCAACAAGAAAGTATTCCAGAGTCGCAGCCAGCCTTCCAGCAATACTGTGTCCCCTCTAGAATCCACGAGCCAGCCCATTATAACCCCTCCAATGGCCAACAGCTCCCCCGTCCCAACCCACTTAGGCAGCCCTGAGATCCCGGACAAGGCTTCTGAGCCCATCAGATTGCCCGTTCAAGCTGACATAATTTACGAAGAATCTCCGAGTGAGGAGTATCCCATCTACGAAAACGTTGTGCTCAATCCAAGTGGTGGCAGTGTAGAAAATGGGCCAACCACTCCTAGGTATCACCATTACGAGAACATTCCTGGACCCTTTCCTGTGCCCTTGGCCGAAGACATCCCGTCTGTGGTTAATCCAATTCCAACGAAAAACCCTTTTGTAAATCCATTCATTGGTGACAGTCCAGTAAATATTGTTCCTTCAGCAACTCTAGAACCTCATCAGCATTTTT